CATGGAGAAAGTCTCAGTTTGATGCCAATATGTCTTTAATACTTCTCTATAGTTGCCAATTTTCTTTCTTTAATAAGGAGAAAACAAGCCTCAGGTTCCTAGGCAGGGAATAGTATTTAGCTTGACTATAATGACATTGTTTTATTTTCATTGTGTTTATTTAAATGGTTATCTTGTATTTATGGCAACTGATATCAGTTTTTTATTTAAATTAGTAATAGAAACCTCTTCAAAATATATTAATTTAAGTAGAAAAGTGAATGTATTTAAAGAAAACATCAGTGATATACAACAGAAATTTACAGGGACAATCTATAAAAACAACGTCTTCACAGACAACATGATGACAATTAATTCATATCTTTCAATAATCACTCTCAACATGAATGGCCTAAATGCTCCCATAAAACGGCACAGGGTTGCAGATTGGATAAAAAGACAGGACCCATCCATATGCTGCCTACAAGAGACTCATTTTGAACCTAAAGATACATCCAGACTGAAAGTGAAGGGATGGAGATCCATTTTCCATGCCAGCAGACCTCAAAAGAAAGCTGGGGTAGCAATTCTTATATCAGACAAGTTAGATTTTAAACTAAAGTCTGTAATTAGAGACACAGAAGGACACTATATCATTCTTAAAGGATCTATCCAACAAGAAGATCTAACAATTGTAAATATCTATGCCCCCAACATGGGAGCAGCCATCTATATAAGCCAACTGTTAACCAAAATAAAGAGTCATATTGATAACAATACGTTAATTGTAGGAGACCTCAATACTCCACTCTCAGCAATGGACAGATCATCTAAGCAGAAAATCAACAAGGAAACAAGAGCTTTGAATGATACATTAAAGAAAACACCATAAATGGAAGAAGTGTTTGCTCTAATGTTTCCCCCCATGTCAGGGAACTCCATTGGTTTGACACTCCTGACTCCTCTCCACAGCTTCATCATTAAGGGATTTTATTCACTCCACATTGGGTGGGTGTGGGAAAAGTGCTATATGTCACTGTAAATTTGGGAAGAATGAAACGAACATACTTAGGACAGAATCTCCCTTCTTCCTCTTAGAATTTAGATACCCAGAGTATAATTACTCATAGATAATTGACTTACAAACTTCCAGTCTAATTTGTAGAATCCTAACAGCAGGTTATTTATTCAATATACCTTTATTGTGTGCCTATGACATACCAGGCTCTTCTCTTCTCTTCCGGCTACCCAGAAGCACCTCCCCCTTTGGAGGTGAAACTATCTAAACCCCTCTGCCCAGGCTGTTGTGGTGCTTTTGATTTCTCAGCTTCTAAATACGCTCAGAGGAAAATGTCAGTAGCATTGATGAGCTTGGAATCCTTCTAGAAGAAAGCATCAGGTACTCATTATCATAAGTCATGAGACAAAAACAGGTAATTGTTCTTAAGGCATCTGGCCAATTTTCTCACAGCCTAACCATAATCCACCCAAGCAGGTCTATCATGAAGGATTTTAGAGATCACCCTGCTAATGACACAGAATTTTAGCAAGAAGCCCTTACGTAAGAGGGTACTGCCCCTTTCTTGCAGAGTAATCACTTTTATTTCTGGGCCCCTGCATTTGCCTTTGTCAGTTCTCCACCATTCAATACAGTAGTGCCCCTTCACTCCTTATTATAACACTCCATTTTGTTTTCATCGTGGTACTTATCTGTACTTCTTTATTTTCTTAGAGTCTGACTCCCTCCACTAGATTGTAAGCTAAAGAAGAGCAGGAATCATCTCTGTATTGTTTGTGGCTGTATCTCAAGTGTCTAGAACATGTTGAATAAATGATTCAACCTTCCCATATTCCAGTTGGAACAAAAAAACAAAGATGTGTACTTTCAAGGTCTAATTAGCAGTCACTCTATAGTATCATTGCTTAACCCTGGAACTGATATATGCATCAATTTTTCCTGCTATGTGTGACTCTAAATGCTCAACTACATTTTTATCTACTGCTTTTCTATTTGTTGGCTCATATATGCTCTGCCAACAGCTGAAAAGTGTCTGCACTGGCTTATAAAGGCAACAGTCAACAGGCAAAAGATAAGAGCTTATAAGTAAAGGAGTAGGACCCAAGGGAAACCTTATCAAGAAATCACTGTTAAGGTGTAACTTTCTATGGGTCTAAAAGAAATCATTGTTAAGGTGTAACTTTCTAATGCAATCAATCCAAGATCTGTCCCCCAAGCTCCCTTTTCTGCCCCTAGCTAGGTAAAGTTGACTTGGGCATTCAAAACTGGTTCAAAAAAATTATTCAGAGTCCCAGAGCAATTTCTGATGAAACTATCTAAAATTCTCTAAAATTTATACTCATCTAAGTAGCTGCTTTATAAAGGCACCATTTTGAGGCAAATTATTTCATGCTTATTCTTCCATTTCTTGTGTTTTGTCATGACAACACAAAAGTGGGTAGGAGTCAGAGGCAGCATTTTACTTAGTCTTGACAATATTTTTAAATGATATGTTTAGAAGCATGAGTTGGCACCTTCTGGTCTTTTGATCTCTCTAAATATAAAGAGGTCAGATTGATACTTTCTAAGGAATATTAAAAGGAAATAAACCAGAAACCTGGACTGGACTCTGCTTAAAGATAGAGGAGCTTCCTTGTAAGTTTCTGGTTTGTGTGAGGATTTTATTGGATTTATTGGCAGTGGATTGGAGATTCATATCACCATTTAGGTCTGATTAATAACCAGAAATTGCTCCTGGATGCTGAATATTTTTTATTTTGAAATGAAATCCATTTTGAATTTTTAACCCAAATCAATTTTACCTAGCAAAGGCAGAAAAATCTAAACTCTCCTGTCCTGAAATACAGACACAAACTTATCTCGGATATTAAATACTCATAACCCCTGTGATTGTGGCTGGTGTTGTTCTAACAATGAAAAGCTGGGGGGAAAAATGAGATTTAATCCAGCAATCCATCACAGAAGAGTGAAAATGAAAAAACACAATGCTCAAAACACCACACCCCTTGAGTTACATGCACACACACAGACTTACAGAAATACATTGACATTTTGGTAGCTGCCCATCTTATGACAAATCCTATCTTCCCATTATGCCCATAATGCATCTAGAACAAATTCAGGGTTTTATTCAGTCCATAATATTAACAGTTTGCATTTGTTTACTTTTTACCTTTCACAGTGTGTCTTCTCACACATTATCTCATTTTAGCATTACAACTATCGCATGGAGAGGCAGATAAACATTCTATTCCCATTTTTTGGAAAGATTTTATTTATTTATTTGAGAGAGAGAAAGAATGAGCAATAGGGAGGGGCAGAAGGAGAGAGAGAGAGAGAAGCAGACTCCCTGCTGAACAGGAAGCCCTATGTGGGGCTCAATCCCAGGACCTGAAGATCATGACCTGAGCCAAAGGCAGAAGTTAGCCAACTGAGCCACCCAGGCACCCCTCTATTCCCATTTTAAAGGTGAGACTCTGAAAACTTGATTGATTTGCCAAAGATCATACAATAAGTAATGGGCAGAACCTGCACTAAGACTCCAAACTTCTGATTCTTTAACTCTATGCCTTTCCTGCAATATTTCAGAGCTTCTTGGGTATCCCAGGAGGTCTGACATACCCTGCAGGGCTCTCATAACCTTAAATTATGGGGATGTCTCAAGACTTCAGACCTGGATGCTGGTCCAAGACAGTAATGAGCTTGAACTAGGTGTACTTACCAAGACTGTCCTGGCACCAATCAGTGAGTTTTCTGGGGAGAACCAGAGCCTCTGAGCTAGAATCCACAACCTAAAGGTAGATTTGAACTGCTCCTGCATAAAGAGGCAGTATCAGTCAGCCAGTATTCTTCTCAAACACAAGCCCAGTGAATTTGTTTCCAAGGGTAGAGAGTTACATTTCATTAGCTCCCATGTATTCTGAGGGCTTGGACCAAAGATGCAAAAATTCATGTAGGCACTTTCCATCTGTATCAGTCTACTCAATGCATGTTAAGTAATTCTTTCTCTGATGAGACCAAACATGCCTGGGTTGGTACAATCTAGTCCTCATCTTTTTGAGTCATAACACAGTTCTGGGATACTTACTATAATGGAACCAATGAAAAATGTAAGCCTTGTGTCTCTCCTGTCCCCTTTCAGACTGGTTATCTCTCTAGCTTAACCTCACAGATGTCCCTCCCAATTTTATAGAAGATATGTGTGTTCTGCTGGCACAAATCATAGTCCCCCTGTTTTCTGAAATTTATTTCAATAGAGGCAGGAGAAGAACTCTTATTTATTGAGTTACAAATATGTGCTCAGCATGGTGCTAGGCAATTTCAAGAACATTATCATTTAGAATTCTCATAACAGTCCTGTGAGGTGGTCATTCACAGATGAGAGAAGAAAGGATAGGAGTTAAATAACCCAAGGTCACACAGACTAGAATTCCTGGTGGGTCTTCAAATCTCAAACCCACAGTCTTTCCACTCATAAGATGCTGAGAACCCAAAGATAAATTTGACCTACTTGAGCTTTGGAGAAGGAGGAGGGTCTTGTCTTTTTTAGGAAGAAAGAAGAAATCAATCTCTCCCATCCTTTCTTTCCAGTAATGCTGGGGAAGTGGAAGAAATTTAAGAGCAGCAAGGCTCACCAAAGGAAGAGGGAAGCTTTCAGAGGGTAGGAAGCAGGTCTGGAAAGCCTGCGTTGTTCAGCGCCAAGTCCAGCAAAGGTGGAGCTGCTGGAGGATGCCTTCTCAACACACCGACACTGCAGACATCTGCCTGGTCCTGCTTTCTCAGGGCAGGGAACAGGCAAGAGACCCCCTAAGCCTTAGGACAGCCTGAGATACTGGAAGCGGCCCCGGAGGCTCAGTAGGCCATAGAGGAGTTAAGAGTGGCATATAGCTGGGTGTGTGTGTGTGTGCCTGTGTGTGCGTGTGCGCGCGCTGGGAGGCGGGGGCGTCTGGAGAGAGGCCTCCGCTCAATAATGTAAGGGGTTGGGCCGCCCACGTGACTCCAGGAAGGCGGAGACAGGCGAGCTGGAGAGAGGACTGACAGACCGCCTGGAGGGAGGTGAGGGGGGCGGCGAACTGAATAATTGAAGAGCTGTTCAGCAGCAGCGGCTGCCTCCTGCCTTCCTTTGCCACCACCACCCCGCATCACAGTGGGAGAGACAGACTCTGGCGCTGTAAGTGGAGACGGCTAGCCACCAGTCCCTGCAGCCAGTTAATCGCCTCCAGCCCTCCGGTGAGTGAACGTCCCCCTTCGCCGCCGTCTGTCCCCCTCCGAGCCCCCTGCACCCAAACTGGACCCCCGCGAATAGGATGGTCGCCTCTTGTTGAATGAACCAGGGAGCCGGAGCCGCAGGGAGGGGGGAAACAGGAACATGGCGCGGAGGCTGAGGGCGCCCTCCGGGAAGGGGTCCCTTGGAAGAAGGAGGGAGCTGGGTTGGGATCTCTTCGTATCTGGCCCGGAATGGGGCCTGGACAGTGTCCGGGGTTGGGGGACGCCGGGTTCCGACTCACGGGAGCTGCCAGGCGGGGTTGGGGCAAATGCAGCCCTGGCGCGGCCGGAGTGAGAGGCAGAGGAGGGAGCCTCGAGCAGTGTCCGGGTCGCCTGGGTCTCCATAGATGCCAGGCCTGTCCTTTCCTCCCTGCCTTGTCACACACCAGGCTCCCGCAGCTAGGTTCTCGGCCTCGGACTGAGCCCACGGAAAGAAAGGGACGTTTTTCCGGCCGTAGCCTGAGGGAAGGGCGGGGACAACGTCTGTCCTTTTACCTGGGAGCAAACTCTTCAAAAGGACTCCAGCTGAGCCCGATACCCAGACCAGGCTGGTGCGCTACGAGGGGCATTTGTCCCCAGAGAGTGGTGATACGCGGCGGGGCAGCGAGAAGGACGTGATGGGAGAAATGTCCTGGGAAGCTCTCTGGCCAGAGCGGGCAGCCCCGGGGAGAGGATTCTCGCCGGCACTTCACCGCGTCTGAGCCTCCTCTCTTCCCCCATTCCAAATACATCAGTTTCTTACAAATCCAGAGGACCAGAGTAGGGCAGTGTGGCCTCGCGTGATGCAGCCCCAAACCTCCTTCTCCCACCAGAGTCACCCCCCAAGTGTATTTTATATTGTGATCGAAAAGTAAGATAGAAGTCACCACATGACTAGAAGCAAAGGGAAAGCAGAGGAAAGATGGAAGGAAAACTAGAACAGCAGGGCTCTCTCGCCTGCTCCTGGCACTCCTCACCCCACTACCTGTGCGAGGCTCCATTCAGAGTTCTGCCTGAACTGAGAGTCTTGAACTGAATGCAAATATAAAGGAAAAACTTGGGAGGGGGAGCAGGTGGGATCTCGTCGGAGTGTCGGGGCCAGTCACTGGAAGGAGTTGGCCAAGGACCACAGAGTGTAAACCCGCCTGTCCCCCAGGGTAAGGGGTCCTGAAGAACATCCTAGGCAGCATAGCAGCTCCAGGCAGGAGCCTGGGCCGCAGAGCCGACCGCTGGGAGGGGCGCTGTCCGCGGTGCTGAAAGTTCGGCGAGGCTGGGCGGTAATACTGCGGGGAGAACGGGCGGCTCACTGCTTGCCAGCGTTTCCCGCAAGCAGAAACTGCGTTAGAACCATGTAAAGGAGGATCATGTGGAATAAGCGAGCTGGAGAGACAGGTATAGGTGCTCTGCGTTCCCCGGTTCTCTGCCTTCCCCCCGGACTCCTCTTGGAAGGAGGTTTTCCGGACTCCTGGGTAGAGGAGCGAGGAGTGGGTGTCACTCCAGAATCCAGCTTTGCTAGCTTCAGGTGGGAATAAGACGTGTGGCTCCGCTTTCTATGTCCCCTGTCAGTGCGGTGAATCTTCCTACTGGTAAATTGTTGGAAAAGCAGTAAACACTTCTGTGACTTTCAGGAACCAGAGAACTGTGAGGCTACCAAAAGAAGAGGCTTCATTAATGGAGTGGCTGGGCTGTCTATTCATGGCTATGGCTTTTTCTCTCTTCAGCATCCTTCCCTCCCCACCACAGATTGTTTACATCCTCTAGATATAGATCTCTAAGCAGCCCTGCATGGTTGTTTCCTTGACTAGTCTTTTATATTATGGGTAAAATGGGAAAGAATTGAGCCAATTTGGGGAGACCAAATTAAGAAAATATTTACTGAACACCTACTATCTGCTGGGTAATATTATCTCATTTAATCTTCATAATGGTTGCTAACTATAAATATCACAAAGGTTAGAAAACTGAAGTTAGAGGTCTTTAATTCAGAGCTTGGATTCAAATTCAGGTCTGCTTAACTACAAACTCCAAGCAATTTTCATGCCCTCATTTTGGCATTTGGCTTTGGAGAGCTGTTATTGGAGAATATAGCAAAAGAATGTCAAAAGAGGAAGGTCTACTTTTCTTTTTCACACACACTACTCTCTTCCAACCCTTTCCTCTTTAATCTGTTCACCCACCCACTGTCACTCACTCCCACCATACCAACTGCTTTTGTGCATGCTGATTGAGATACCACTGTTCACACAACTTGAGCTTTAGGATTACAAAAACAAGTTAGAGGACTAAAACAACAGGCTTTCCTGATAGAGCAGCAGGGGTTCATGGGATCTGGAGGACTAGAGCCTACACGTGCTTTCATATTTAGAATTATACTCTTGACTTTTAGGGCTGGAATAACCTTAAAAGTCATTCAGCATCATGCAGATCATTGTTTTACAAGAAGAAGAATTTGGGGACCAAAAGACGATTATTAGTCTAAGTCTCATGATTGAAACGTTAGGATTGGAACCCCATTAACTCTATTCCAAGGTCAGTGTCCTTTCCACCACCCTCATGGTAACTCAAATATTCTTCCCTTCTTCTTTCTTTGGTTATCTTTGACAAGAGCATCAGCATCAGTAAACTACATTCAGTAAAAAACCACAAATACAAATACCTAAAATACCAACACTCGTGTTACCTTCCTATTCTTTTCCCCTCTGGTCTGACTGTTTCAGTGTTGTCTGGCCCAACATACCTGACCCACCTTCCTCAGCAACAGTTCTCCCTATGGTAGCAATCTGCAAATGGGGATGGGGTTATGGCATTTCTCTACTTGCCTTTGTGTTGCCTGTATTTCCTCTTCTATGGTCTATTCCAAAAAAAAATAATTTTTCCAAAATAAATTATCCTAAGCATCTTCCTATGTTCTCACAGGTACTTGAAAGAGACCTTAAAAAGATCTAGGCAGAATTAAATGATCACTGTAAGTGCTAATATCAATCAACTGTGAGGCACTATCCTAGGTCCTTTCATAAATAATTTCATCGAATCTTCACAATTCTGTCAAGTAGATCATTTCATTAGAGGTGGTCCTAGAGTTCTAGTCCACTCTAACATGCAGCAGATCTGATGTTCTATGTATTTCTTCTTGCTTCTCTTTTAGCCCCTAATAAAATCTCAACTTTATTAATTGGATTCTTATAGCCCTAATAATTACATTGGCAAGGAGGAAATTTTTATATTGAATTGAATTGTTCTATCCTGCTCCAATATGTAAAGTTTAGAAATTCAAATTCAGTTCAAATGGTAATGTTCTGTTCTTTTATCTCAATATTTACCACAACATATTCTCCCTTCATTTGTTATCTTTTACTTAAAGATCCCTATATACCTTCTTAATTCTAATATTAACATTCTGTTTCAAACCCCCTCTATTACCAACTAAGACACAACTCATAACTAAATATATAACTTCTATTGTACCCTCACAGAGTGATCCTGCAAGGATGTTGTTGCTGGGATGCTCTGGGCCCTGTAAACCATAATCTCAAACTGTCTAGAACCACTCTACCCAATATGGTATCACTAGCCACACGTACATTAAAATTTTAATTTTAATTAATTAAGATTAACATCTAATTAACATTAAAATCTTCAATTTTTTAATCACACTAGCTGTATTTCAAGTGCCCAATAACCATATGTGGCTAATGGCTACTTAAATGAACAGTGCAGATACAGAACATTTTCAGCATTGCAGAAAGTTCTATTGGACAATGCTGCTTTGGAAAGTGCTAAAAACATCCTCATGGCAACTGAGAACTTGGAACTGGGAAGAAGAACTGGACACTTTGCTTTGAAACTTCTGCCAAGAAAGGAGGAAAAGCCACTTGTGGCCTAGGACACCCCCAAAAGCCCAAATAGGCTCAAGACAATAAGACTAACGAGGAGAATATATGTCTCACTAAAGGAGCAGGCGACTATGGGATTTGCTTCATATGGATTCCATTTTACTATGGAATAAAACCATGAATGGGTCTTGCTGGTTTCCTGGATTCCAGCTTAGAAATAACTTGGGAGTTCTTATTCAAAATTCGAGTTTTATACATATATATATACATCACATACACATGTAACAACATGGATATATATGTGTGTGTTTATGTGTTTATGTATGTGCATTTTGTCTTAGTAAGTATAGTATAAATATAGAAAGAATACAGGACTTGGAGATAGTAGTAAGTGTGCCACTTACTATTTGGTGACATTATAAGGCCCTCTAGAGCTCCATTCCTTCATTTGTAAAATGGTGATGAGAATTGCAACACCCATCTCAAAAGGTTATTGTGAGACTCAAAGTATAGGTAAATGAAAGTACTTTGCAGGGAGCATGATTGATATGTGATGGTTGATAATCTCATGTAGATATAGTATAGTATATTAAAAAAATAGGGTAGTTTAAACTGAATGCATTTCTGAATGTTTTTAATCCCAGATAAATATATTTTGCTTTTGTTGTCATTTTTCCCTGAAAAGTAGAATGCTGAAGAAAAAATCTTTTTGGTTGTTGAGATTTCTTATTGGTTAATTTTTCTATGAACTGAAATACTGTTTATTGCTCATGGTTTACTTTATTTCGCCCTGAAAATTTTCCTTTTTCCAGGAAAAAAAATACCTAGGAAGTCTCAGTGGTTCTGAAACAGCATTTACCCTTTAACTAAAAGGTTTTTTTTAAAGATTTATTTATCTGAGAGAGAGAGAGCGAGAGAGCACACATGAGCGAGTGCACGAGCAGGGGGAGGGGCAGAGGGAGATGGAGACAAGCAGATGCCCTGCTGAGCAGGAAACCTGATGCAAGCTCAATCCCAAGACCCTGAGATCATGACCTGAGCCAAAAATCAAGAGTCAGACACTCAACCAACTGAGCCACCCAGGTACCCCTCTTTAACTAATAGCTTTAAGTCAATTGTCAGTAATTAGCCTGTCATGACAATAGTGGTTCA